GTGCAAAAACGCATGATCGCTCCGGCTCGCCTGGTGCGTTCCAGCCTACGTTGCATGAAGTCCGGTCATTTTTTCGGTAAATATTCGCTTTGCGAAAAAATGACAAATGCAAATTTTTTTTGAAAAAATGCAAATTTCCAGTTCACTGAAAAGTGAAAGTATTGCTCGAGTGATCGTTTGTCAAAAAATCAATGTACGCAAATTAATTAACACTCATTTATATATTTGGGTGAGGGCGGTCGTTCGCTGCAAAACGCACTCATTTCTGATTTTCGGTAAAGCTGAGGATTCCTCACGCCTACCTGCATGGAATTCTATCTCCAAGCAAAATTAAGACTGTACTTGAGAGTAAAATTTTCCAACGAATTTTCAGCCTTGCAGCTTATCCGACAAGCGAAGTATCCACTTCGCTACAGTAAAAATTTTATGGGATGAATGTTTACGTGTGTGGATCGCTGTGTGGCGCGGTGCTCTGAGCGTACGCGCACTGCAGAGAAGCAAAATCAAGTTTATGACTTACTGATGATGAATCGTGCAAACAGCAAATAAACAGCACAAAGTGTGGCGCTTGGAATCTATCGAGTCTGTGAGCTTGCCGAACAAGAGTCGTTATAGCAGAGAATGGTCGATGAGGCCCAGGAGTGTACCAGACGAAGTCAAGTTTCAATAACCTTGAAGAGCCGGGGATGACGACGTTCGAGAGACTGGGAGCCGTCCTCAGCTGAAGGAGAAACTGAGACCACGAATAATGGTAGGGAGGTTTATAAAGGGTGCAAGGGCCGCTCCAAAAGAGGATGTGATAGTTTTTTGAAGGGGTTGAAAATGTGAAAGTGGTAATTAAGGTAGATCGATATGTGAAAAGGGGAAATGGAAATGAGGGTTTTTAAGGAGGTTAAAAAGAGGGATTGAAAGGAAAAATAACAAAAGTAAAACGGCTGGGAATGCAAGCGCATCTCAAAATACGAGTAAAACGGGATAAAGGGAACGGATATGTAATTAAGTTTTTGCAGATGTAAAAAAAAGGATAGACGAAAACGCAGAAAATTGTAAACAGAGAGGAATGCAAATGGCATTCCTGACTCATAGGCCAAAAAAAGAGAAAAGAAAAAAAGTATTATATGATTTTATAATGAGAACAGCATACTTTACACTACAAATGTTTTTGAAGTGTCCTAAATCGTGGCGCAAGTGCAAATCAGTACTCACTTCAGATATACTATTTCCTGTTGGGAGACATACATCCTGACAAAACTTCAGCCACTGTTTTCCGGCAAGGGTTTTCGAGTTAGCATAGCACCCAAGTTTCAACTTTGACGTAATCGTACGCGCTTTACAAGCGTGCTGGACAGCTAAGCTAAAAATCTTTAGCTCATAAGTGCATAGGGAATATCCCTTCAAAGTTTCAGGTTTCTAACTTGCATGGTTCGCGAAATCTTTTCCTGCCAACGAAATTTGCATTTTTATGCGTTTTTGCATATATGCAAATGCGAAAATGCATATTGCGACAACCCAGGTGTGTGTGCGTCTGCCTGTGTGCCCGGGTATTTCAACTCGGCACCCAAGCGAGTTCCGGCGCCAAAATTTTCTGGTCAGTTTCCCAGCCAAGTGCCAGGACCATCTCTCACGCAAGTCTGGGCCCGCTTGCGAGAGGTCAAAGTTTTGGCAGGAAAATCGCTAAATCAAGAACCAGAAAAACTAGAAATTATTTTGAAGTTGTGTTCCCGTCCATTTGGAATTCAAAGATTTCAAATTCAGCCCGCAAGTGTCCTCCCCGAGGTTCCTGGCGTGAAAATTGATAACTTGGGAACCGGGAAAGTTGGGACGCTAAAATTTTCAGGGGATGCTCACAGTGCAAGTTTAATTTAAGATTATCAGGCTCCGTTTCTCAGTTGTGTGGTAATCACGTACGGCCCCGTGAAATTTTTCGGCGGGAAAACGGCCAAGTCGGAAACCAGGAAAGCTGTGAGGCTGAAATTCACAGTGAGTGTTCCCAAAAGCACATATACAGCCAAAATTTTTCAGACTTATTAGACTCAGCCTCCAGGCATGTGTTCTCTCATGTGCTGCCGCGGGAAATTTTTTGGCGAAAAAATGACTAGTTCGGGAGCCTGAAAAGCCAGGAGGCAGAAATTTTCAAGGAATGTTCCCACCAAATGTACAACTTGAAGTTAACGAATTCAATCTTTCGGTTTGCAAATTCAGCTTTCCAGGCACGTGCAGTTACCATGTATGGCTCCATGGAAGTTTTTGGCGGTAAATGGCTAATTCGGGAGCCAGAAAGCAGGGTGGCTGAAATTTTCAGAGAATATTCCCTGTTCAATTACAGCATAGACAATTGGCTTCCTGAAATTCGTGGATCAGTATGTCACACATTTCTAGCTGCTGGGTTTCCGAGCGATCTCATTACAGCACGAAACACTGCAAAAACGTATGTTTGCACGGGCCCGCCCGGTGCGCGTCGCCAATAATTTTTTTAGAGGCCCCGTACGCGGAGTCTAGGCGCGGGTAGGAGAATGTCTTGAAACGGGCGGGTGACACACTGGACAGGAACACATACCCAAAGTTCCAGCCTCCCAGCTTTCCTGGTTGCTGAGATGAAAGTGAATGAAAGAATGCGCTCGTTTCCGCGCGCGCACACACACACACGCGCACACACACGCACACGCACACACACACGCACACAAACACACACACATACGCACACACACTCACACACACACACACAAACACACACACAGCCGCTCGTTACAATATACCTTTTTGCTGGCTGTAGCGCCGCTATAGCGCAAAAACGCCTAAAAGACGCATGAAAAACAAAAAAAAATTTATGAAATTCGAATGACCAGTTTTCTCCGCTGTTTTTGCTGCTGTCGTCGTACATTTGGAGGTTCTGGAACGGCTAGAAATATTTTTTCCAGTGTTCATGTGCTGTATGCCGCTATTGTCGCTGCTGTTGAAGTGGGGCGTATCGCTGAAATTCGTCCTTATGGTGCTGTATTTTAAGCTGTCGGTACCAGGTAGTTCTTTAAATAGTTCATTAGGTGATTCCTTAAAAAGTTCATTGGAGCTGTTCTTGTAGGTCTATTTTTGATTTTTAAAAATTTGAGGAAGTTAACGAGAACAGACATCGCTTTGACATTGTCGTGTCAAAACACGAAAAGTGATAGATAAAATTTATTCTAGAATGTTCCATTTTGTTCTTTTGTGTGTATATAAAAAATCTACAAAAGGGGATTGCAAGGAGGGAGGAGGATTAAGGACCTTTGGAGCAGGAAAAGCAATTATTCCTAAAACAACGGGCGCTGGGATACGGCTGACTGAAACAAGGCTGCGACGTCCAAAGGCGGAATGAGCGGGGAAAAGATTACGTGAGAAATTCGGGAGTCGGCAGCTGCGAGAAATTGAGCTCTTTGCCTGAAGCACAGCTATTGGATCATAGGCGTAAATCAAATGTTAGCCACGAGCCGGAATTAGAGCCCGGAATTTTGAAGCTGAAAAGTGAAAAACGAACGGAGGATTTTTGGCCCATTGAGACGTCCTACAGTCCAACGAAGGGGATGCTGCAGCGACTTCTAGCTGAAGCGGAGCAAGCGACAGATTTATGAAAGTCAGTTCGGGGAAAGAGCGAACACAATAATTACGAAGAATTTCGAGACCGATTTTGTTATCTGTTGCCTGCAGTGCAGTCAGCCGTACATATTTTGGAAGGAATCAATAGTTAGCGGATGAAACTGATCCAGAATCGTCCCGAAGGAAAGCTAGAAGAAGAAGAGCAGTTACATGAGAAAGCAATGGAAGACGAAAACAGCTTCCTGGCAGTTTTGGAAAAAGGAAGAGAAGCTGCTGCGACAATGGAAGCCGAGAAAGAGAGGATGGAAATGCTGCTACAGCAACAGTCCAAAGATAGTAAGCCCTTCAAGAACTCCAGCTTTTAAGAAATCAAATCAAACGAATGACAGCGAATCAAGCTTCCGAAGATTGAATGGCCAAAATTCTCAGGTGAAATTATTCATTGGCCATCATTCTATGCACATTTTCAAGTTCCAGTAGATAGAAAAAATGTACCACCGATTCAGAAATTAGCCTACCTCCTCGGTTGTTTAAAGGGAAAAGCAGCTGCTGCAGCAGAAGAGTATGCTATTACGCCAGAAAATTACTTGTTGATCTTAAATATGCTCAAAGAAAAATTTGGGGATTCGAAAACGATCATAAGGCAACTAAAAAGCCTTCCAAATGCCGATGCGCATAAAAACGTTCAAGGAAGATTGGAGAATATGAAGAAAATAATGCGGCAGCTAGAAACATCAGGTGGAAATTTCGAACACCCAAAAGTGGAAATAAAGACTGAATCCAAGTTACCGCGATGGATGCTGAAGGAAGTATACGAACTGCAAGAAAAGGATGATTCATGAAGCTGAGGAAAAATTTAGAAGTAATAATAAAAAGAAAAGAAGCGGTAAACCGAGCATGCGAGGAACATCAGAAGTATAAAAAATGTTCACAAGAAAGGGAGGCTTCTCCTACGAGAAGAATATTTCCAGGACCAGCAAATTTCCGCTGTATTTATTGCTCGAAGAGGAACCAAGAGGCCGTGCTTGTTTTGCGCGCAGAATCATTGGAATGACTAATGTGTAGAATATCCGACACTGGAAAAACGAATGGCTAGAGCCCGTGAGGCTACGCCTGCGCTTCAAATGTCAAAAAAACCACTGCAGCAGAGACTGCACCCAGCCAGATACCTGTTACCACTGTAATAAGCAGCATCCATCGGCCTTGTGCAGAAGCTTGCGGACGAAAAAGGATGCATCTCGCAAAAAGTGCAAAGTTCTGTAATGGAGACACAATCAGTGAACGAGGCCTCACCGGCAACGGCTACCTTAGCAAATGAAGTAAGCGGCAATGAAAATGCCGTCCTATTAATTTGTAAAGAAGCACAAACAGTGAACCCAGAAAATGGAAGAGAAGCGGCTGCAATGGCTTTCCTGGACGTTAGGTCACAACTGCTGTTCATCACTGATGAATTATCAAAACAACTAGGGCTTTAAGAAGAAAGAAAGGAAATTCTAAAAATACAAGGATTTGCCGAAGAATAAGCAGAGGAATATTCCACAATCGTTGTCGCTACGCATCTCGAATTGAAAAATGTTGATTATAAAGAGCTGAGATTGAGAACAATCGATAGAATAATTCCGTGTCTACAAATCACTGATATACCATGTGATTAGGAGGAGTGGACCCTAACTGGAAAAGTAAATCCACCAACGCTTAAAAGAAAGTGGGAGAGGCCGAGAATTTTAATCTGAGCCGACTGCTTCTTTGATTTTAAACCAATAATAATAAAAAAGTTTGTATCAGGTTTCCAGTTGGTGGATTCCGAAATTGGATATATTTTTACAAGAAAGGATAAGTTAGGGGAAATGACGACAAGCGATGCATCATGGTGTTCAGTACATGGCAATGTTGCTATCCTACCAGTGACAAAAGTAGCTGATCCTATCGATGTCCCTCAGTTCTGTAGATTGGAAGACCTAGGGATCAGCGAACCACAAAACGAAAAGGATGATGAATAAGCAATGCTTCAATTGCAGAACACAGTCCGCAGAGAAGAGGGTCGATATTAGTGTTGGTGACCGTGGTGGAACTCGAATATGCTGATACCGCCCAACCTTGGATTATGCTGGAGTCTACTCAAGTCAAATTCAGAACCTTTGGAAAAATATGAAAAATTTCTCAGGGAACAAATAGAACCCAGGCTGGAACGCACCAAGTGAGCCGGTGCGATTATGCGTTTTTGCACTTTTCGTGCCGTAGCAAGATCGCAAGGAATCAAAGTGGCTGACCCTGTGAAATATTGGCCCTCGAAATTGGGGAAGTTAATTGTGCAGCTATGTGTTATGTCAGTTTTAAGTGTCGAGTTCAGTGACCCGACAAATGGGAAGTTGCTGTTCCCCAAAAAAAGGCCAAGAGTTAAGTTTAAAATCTTTTAGTTGCACAGGAGCAGGAAACATTCCCTTAAAATTTAAGCCTTTAGCTTTCCCGTTCCTGAGTTAGCAGTTTTCCCATCAAAATTTTCACGTCTCCGTATGTGAGTACTGGACGGTTTTAAGCAGCTGAATTTAAAATCTTTTGGTCATATATGAGTAGGGAACATTACCCTAAAGTTTCAGCTTTCTAGCTTTTCCCCTTCCCGGATTAGTAATTTTTGCGTCAAAATTTCCACGCGTTTGTATGTGGGCATGGGCGCTTCTAAACACCTGATCTTGGTCGTATACGAGTAGGAAACATCCTCCGAAAGTTTCAGCTTTGTAGCATTTCACGTTCCCGGGTTGGTAGTTTCCGCGCCAAAACTTTCACGTGCCCGTACGTGAGCCCCTGGTGGTCCTAAGGAGTTGAGTTTGAAAACTTTTGGTCGTGCATGAGTATGGAACATTCCCCCAAAGCTTCAACTTTCTAGCTTTTCTCATTCTCGAGTTATGGATTTTCCCTCCATAATTTTCACGTGCTCGTACGTAGGCCCCGGACACACCTGGGCAGTTGAATTTGAAG